GACAGAGAGAAGCTGTACTGGGAGCTGAGCCCACTGACCCACGGCATCACCCAGCTGGGCCCCTATGCCCTGGACCAGAACAGTCTCTATGTCAACGGTGAGCAGGGGCCACCCGTGCTGTGTTCTAGGGTAGAGCCCAAGTCCTTTACATCTGGGCGGGCTTCGTCCTTACCACTCACACGTTCATATTCATTCTCCCACACGCCTCTCTCCCCCTCTCCTGCTGCAGGTTACACCCACCAGGCCACAGCAACTACTCCCACTGGTAAGTCCACAGTGACCCTGTCATGGTCCCTTGACCTCCAAGGGACAAGCAGCAGACCCCTGCCCACATCTCCAGCTGTCAAGGAGGGTAGGATCCAGGTCACAGGCTGGAAAGCCAGTGGGATAGGGCTCAAATGTGATCACCTTGTATTGTTGCCTAGACACACACCAAGGTCATTAAATGTCCTGTGTGTGGAAAAACACACTAAAAGTAGGTTCAAAAAACACATGAAAAACAGAGGTGTGTAATAAACTATTTCATCAGAACTTTGTAGCTTCCAGATCCTTCCCTCCTTACTTGTAGCATGTGACAATCAAGTCTTGGTATAGGCATTAGGCACCAAGGACCCTCAGCCATTCCTACATCCTCACACAGTGTGCTCCTTGGTGTGAGCACCATGGCCTCAGACCCTGCCTGCCCACATCGTCCACCCCAGACTGACTCAGGGGACCTCTCCTCTCCCTCCCCTGATGCAGCCTCAGGACCTCCCCTGGAGTCCTTCACCCTCAACTTCACCATCACCAACCTGCGCTACGAGGACAACATTCAGCCCCCAGGGTCCTTGACCTTCAACACCACTCAGAAGGTCCTGCAGCACCTGGTGAGCACAGTGCCTGTCCCACTCTGGTCTTGTCCACTGGAGCCAGCCTGCCTGTGTCCCACCCTCTGATGCACCTGTATCCTCCAGGATCCCCACACCCACCAATGGTGCCATTGCCCACCTCTCAGCTGACCCACTCCCCCTCTCTCTCCTCCACAGC